ATAACCACTGGAAAAAATATGGAAAGAAACATTAACCTTTTAACCTTGATTTTATTTAGGATTGGGATGGGGAGAGGAAAACTATCTTTTTCTTTATTTTCTTCTGAAATATACTTTGTTATACTTCTGTGTTGTCTGAATTGTTAAAATGAATGTTTATTACCTTTTAAACAAGTGAGTAGAAAGTGAAATGAGGAAGTAGTCTTAGATATAGACTATTTTTAGATTTGGAGAGAAGAAAGATAAATTAATCTCCAGTAAAGCAGAGATTGAAAAGATTGAAGACAGAGTAACCCATCAGGTGGGCCCTGAGGGGATAGAGAGGATCCATTTCAGAGCAGTGTCCCCAAAGTGCCAGGGCTGTGATGGCTTCACTGTTTCACAGGGAAATGCAAATAAACAGTGTAGTTCCTAAAAGTTTAGTTCTTTAGTGTTGAAAGTGCATTTTCTTTAAAGTAATTGAGGGTGATAAGAGATGGGAGGACTTTAAAAATTTATATCATTATTTGTCAAGATTAAAAGTTAATAGCCCTATCTATGCCAGTTCCTGAACTGGTAGAAATACTAATGGTCTGTAAATCCCAAAGTCTGGAAAAAACAGATCTTCAGCACAAGTAGAGAGCTAAGTAAGCATTAAGCAAGACAAGAGCTAGTGCTTCCTCTGTGGGACAGGAAAAGAAGTGTGTATGGATTTAGATAGTTATAGAAAGAATTGGCAGGTATAGGGAAAGAAGGTAAGAAAGTTAAAAGACTATGGTGAGATCTTTTTCTGGGTCAGGGTTGAGGGGCTCTGCAGGAGTAATTGTAAAGTTAAGACTTGAGGGGAGTGGTAAAAAATGGTAAGAGGTGCTGTGGGGGTTGGGAAACCAACCTGAGAGAAACTGGAGCTTTTAATATGGAATAATACCTGACTATTTTGTTCAGATTTGTTCTTTTATGAACTTATCCTTGGTCCTTTTTGTATTCTCTCTCATTTGACACCCCCTTTCCCAACCAGCACTTTTGTTTTTATTCCTTTTATGACACTTATATTCTTCCTTTGTTTTTGTAATTATCAGTACCCATTTAACTCTCTCTGAGACACTGTTCATTTATCTATAACAACCTCACAGCACTTCCCAGATAGTAGACACCCAACTGATTGGAGCTGAAGTAAATTTAATTCCACATAGAAAATGACTGTGTAATAATCTGCATCATCTTGATTAAAATTCTTCACAGTTGTGAAAACAGAGATAAAACATTGGCTTTTTTTTTTTTTAAACTCCTATAAACTAACTTTTCCCTATTGCATGTATTTTTCATTCCTTAAAAAGATAAATTATTTGGTCATATTTTGCTTGTAAGAGTCTTAAACTGTACGCCCTTGAAATTCATACACTCCTGTTATAAAACTGCCACAGAAATCATTAAAATAAAATTTTTCACTGTAATGGATATGAAAATTGAGGACCCGAAAAAGTAGGCAATTTGTTAAAAACTGCAAGGGTATCATGTGAGAGTCCATATGAGAGTCTTATTTCCAACTTAATTCAGTTACACAGCGATTCCACCTCTTAATTTCAATGTTATTTTGTATTCAACTTATAGCAGTTAAATTAATAATAGTTATCTCTGGTAAAGCTCTCAAAATCAATACACTGATTACCCTTCAATTTTTTTTTTTTTTTTTAAGATGCCAGTATGGGTTGCTGTTGCTATGTGACATGTTTGATATTTTTTTATAAAGATTTTATTTATTTGACAGATAGAGATCACAAGTAGGCAGAGAGGCAGGCAGAGAGAAAGGAGGAAGCAGGCTCCCTGCTGAGCAGAGATACCGATATGGGGCTTGATCCCAGGACCCTGGAATCATGACCCAGCCAAAGGAAGAGGCTTTAACCCACTGAGCCACCCAGGCATCCTGACATGTTTGATATTTTAAGTGCCCAAATCCAATAAGCCAATTGGGCATTCAGTTGAAGGTTGTTTTACGATGGGTATTATTTGTATTATTTATGGTTATAATCAAATCTTAAATATTGACAGTGATGGTTGATATATCAATCTTTACTCCTGCATTTTATAGTTCATCATTTATTTAAAACTCTGTATCTCTTTATTATATTATAAAGAATTGAAACCACAGAGACAGTAACAAATCCTCACATGCAAACGTAACTAGGAGGATGCTGCAAGTACAGAAATACACAGTCTTTTCCCTGGAGAGACAAGAGATGGCCTATTACAAGCCACCACCCTCTTCTTTACTAGCACATGAAAGTAGAAACTGCTAGTACATTAGCATTAAAAACATTTTTCTCTTAAAATATTCTCACATAACACCTACAGAGTCCAACTGTAAAAAAGTAGAAATTAATTATCTGCCAGAGAATAAATATATCCAAAAATTCCTATTGTTCAGTACAGAGGTTCCTCAAAAAATTAAAAATAGAATTATCTTATGATCCAGGAATCACACCACTGGGTATTCACCCCAAAAATATAAAAACACTAATTTAAAGGGATACATGAACCTCTATGTTTATTGCAGGATCTTATTTACAATAGCCAAACTACGGAAACAACCCAAGTGTTCACCAACAGATGAATGGATAAAGAAAATGTGGTCCATATATACAATGGAATATTATCTAGCCATAAAGAAGAACTTTGTCATTTGCAACATGAATAGAGCTAGAGAGTATAAAACTAAGTGAAATAAGAAAGATAAATAACATATGATCTCACTTATACATATCATTTAAGAAAACAAAAGAGCAAAGATAAAATAAGAGACAAGAAACAGACTTTTAACTATAGAAAACCGATTGTTACCAAAGGGGAGGTGGGTAGGGATCAAAGAGTGTATTTATCATGATGAAAACAAAATAAAATAAAATGATAAAACAAAGGCGAAATGGCCTCAGTGGGGGGAAATAATTTATATTCAGTTTTGCTGAAATGGTATATACTGTTATTGCTTTTTAAATTTTTATTACTTTTTAAAATATTTTATTTATTTACTTGACAGAGACATTGAGAGAGGGAACAGGAGCAGGCGAGCAGGTAGAGAAGAAAGAGAGAGAGAAGCAAGTTCCTGGCTGAGCAGGGAACCCCATACCGGCTGGATCCCAGGATCCTGGGATGATGACGTGGGCTGAAAGCAGACGCTTAATTACTGAGCCAACCAGGCGTCCCTGCCTTTTAAAAAAATTATAGTTTTCTATTGGCAGATATTATTATTTGACCTCTAATTAAATTTTAAGAAGGAATACTTTTTAAACAAATAAATAGATTTTCATGTAAAATACCCACAGAAGACTATTGCCCCATTAGTCTCCATCTGAAGTTACGCTCCCGGAAGTCGCATTCTTAGGGTGAAGATGTGCCTTTATATACATGACAAAGCTACACCCTTCTTCTGTTGGATGGCTCATCATCGTGCTTGTTGACCTGGTTATTTTATGGAATTGTTTGCTCTGAGAGTGACAGGAAAAGGCCGTTCAAAAACATTTTGTTCTTCCATCAGAAAAAAACATTTTAACTCCTCTAGATCATCATTCCCTCAAACTTTCCGAACACAGCAAAGCCCACCTAAATCTCCAGACCTCGTATCAAAAACTATACATCGTTAAAACTCCAAAGACTTTGAAGTCGGGACAAGGCTGCCATTCGTATACTCCCCCCGCAATTACTGACCAAGTTCTCATTGAACGACAGCTCACTCTGCCAGGTGCTGTTGTTATGAACGTGGGGAGACCCTGCCCCAGAGCTCGCAGAGCGAGGCGGACTCGGAGCCGACCAAACAGGATGCGCGCACAGTACAGGGAGCAGGGGACGTGGCAACCAGCCTAGTCTGGGCGAGAGCCGCAGAGAGGTGGTCTGCCGGCGGGGTATCGACACGTGGGGAGGAAAGTCATCCTGGGCAAGGCTTAGCGTGGTTAAGGGGGGTGCCGCGTGCACAGCAAGGGGTTGGGGCGGACCGCAGGGAAAGGGGCGTGCGGCGCGGCTGGCTGAGACTGAGACCTGGGGGAAGCCGGGTCGGCCCGGCGGCCCGGGGCCAGAGCTTCCTACCGCGGGAGCTATTAGCAGGACCCCCGGGGTGCGCGGGGGACTGGAAGAACCGGCTGGAAGAAGAGGGGGTGGCCGCCGGCACGGGAGGAGCAGTCAGGAGCGTGCAGAAATTGTCCGGAAGAGAAACTAGGAGGTGGAAGAGTCAGTGACTTTGAAAAAACAGCCTGTGAAGGTATTTCCGAAGGAAAACGAAAGCTCTGACGACCCGACGGGGAATGAACAAGGCGCACATGTTCCACCTCGGAGGTCCGGACAAAGTATCGCAGAATCACGCCGCTGCCTGACCACAGAGTGGAAGTCCTCTAAGACAATCATAACCAAGTTTAATTTTTTTGCTGTAGTAATTAAGACACGGGGAAAAGCGTAGTCTCGACGTGCCGCAGGGAAAACCTCTCCCCTAGGCGTTTTTTTAAAAGCCGCCAGGCGGGAAGAAAGTGGTGGGCTTCCAAGTTAAGGACACTTCAACCTCCCCATAAGGTGTATTTCAGGTGGACAACGGTGCTGGGTGAAAACTCAATCCACCGCCACACAGCCTAAGAACACTCTTCAATATCGGATTACCATAAAGATAGGGTTGCAAATGCCACGCAAACCACCTCACGTCCAGGTCCCCAAGGGACTCCTTCATTGTCCACCGCAGCTAAGCCCGCTCACCCGCCAGAGGAGCGCCAACTCCAGCGCCTCACACACGGCGCCTGCGCACAATCTGCAGGGTGCGATGACAGCGCGCGGAAGACGTTTCCCAGAAGTCCGCGCCACTCGCTGCGGTTCTCCCTCCCACTCCCAGGCCGCGTGACGTCACTCCGCCCGCCACGTTCCTAGGTCGCTTAGGGTGGTTTGCCAGCGCCCCCCAGTGGTCTGGTTGAGCATTGCAGCAGTGCGCGCCGGGGCCCAACAAGCAAGTAGGGAGAGCTGCCGCCGCCGCAGTCGTCACCGTAGCGCGCCGACATGTGGCGGCGCGGCTGAGCGGAGCGGAGGGGGAGAAAGGGGAGGACACGCGCGGGGAGGGGAGGGAGGAGGCCAGACAAGGCGGGGGGAGGAGGAGCGGCGGTGGCGCAAGTCGCGCGGAGCAGCGCAGCCCGGGTCCGCTCTCTGCTCCGTCGCCACCTCCCGACCCGGCGAGTAGAGCCGGTGCTCCAGCGACCCCCGGAACAACTCCAAGCGTACTAAGGAGTCCATGTTGGGGAACTTGGCGTCGTGACGGGGACCTAGGGACCTGCAGTGGAGCCGCCGCCGCTGGAGCAAGCGCCTCGACCTCGGCCTGAGGTAAACACGGGCCGACCCCGGGGGCGGATGGGCTCCGGCAGCTGTCGGGGCGAAGTGGGGGCTGTTACGAGCTGGCGCGGAGCGGAGGAGCGGGCCCAGGGCGACGGGAGGGCGGACAAAGTTTCGGAATCGCGCGCGGCCCTGGCGGCGTCCTGCGCTTGGAGGAAAGTTGGAGCTGCCTCTTGAGGCGGGGGAAGCTGCGGCGGGGAGGGCCCCTCTTCCTTCTCACTACCCGGAGAGGGAGGCCCCGCTCCGGCCGCCGCCGCCTAACTGGCGACACCCCGTCCCATTTCCTCCTTGTGGCCTACCCGGCTCCCGCCGCTTCTGCCGGCGGAGCCTGTCCCCGCCTGGGTGCGGGGTCCAGTTGTGGGGGATGGGGTGAGGCAAGGGGCCCAGTGACCGAGTCGGCACACATACACCCGCTCCCTGCAGTGGAAACGTGTCTTGCTGGGCTTCCGGGTGCTCCCCGACCCCCGAGTTCGCTTACTTAGAAGACTTTGCTTTTGTCAATAGTGTCCAAGCCCGCTTGTGAAACCAAACTTTACTGCGCCGTGACCTCTCAGTGCGCGAATGGGGAAGAGCCGGCGCTTCTAGGCATCAGCGTTTACCCCGGTCCTGAATTTCAAACTGCTCTCCCACCCCCAATTTAAAACCCGTTTCCTGGGCTGACAACAAAAGGGCCGATCTAAACTTAGCCTAATGAGTCGCCCCTCCTCACACCTAGGAATTTTGAACCATTAAAGGTGTTTTTTAGAGATTGCTGGCCGTGTTGCTACCCACATATTTTGAAAAATTGTTTTGAAAGGAAATGCCTGGTTTAAGCAGTTGGTTAAAATACAGATTCAAATGTTGAATTGTAAAATACCCCTAACATATTTCTCTAGAGGATTTCTTACAGTGTCTGCCAAGTTGAGCGATTATTAGTTATTTTGGATTGCTTCTAACTAACATCTTTATTCATACCACCAGTGAAGTAAGATATTTAAGCAAAACTTATCAAAAAGTTTTTAATGTTTGGCTAGTGGGCGCTGATCTTAAATTTTCCTAGTTTCGGAATTTTCACTGAATTTCGGAAAAAGCATATCAATAGAAGCATTTTCCATTTTAAAAGTTAATTTGAGCGTGTGACTGCTTACCTCAGGAAAATATTGAAGGCAAAACATTCTTAAGTAACTGGCAGTTTTTGTATTTTATTGGTAATCGTATTAAAATTTTGATAAGAATTAAATCTCTAGGCCATTGCTTTCTTTCTTGTTTCTTTGGCAGTTGGCTTAATCGTCTCACTTTTTTGCTGTTGGTTAAGAGCTGCAGTAAAAAAGTTTGTGGGATTTTTATTTTTGTTGCTTTAAATTATTGGGCAGATGAAATTTTGAAATTGTCTTTGGATTTCTTTCCTTTTATACTCAAAGATAATCTGAATTTATAATTTTTTAAAAATTAGTTATTCTTGCTGTAGCTGCAGTTTTGCATTATGATATTTTTTGGTGCCTGCAAGTATATTAATAAAAATTCAGTTTTACGTTCAGATGGTGACCTTTTTGCCTGAGAATTTGAGTACATCAAAATAAAAAAGATTTTGAGTACATTTTAAGATTTTGGTAGGATAAGATTTGGATGTTTGCTTACGCCTAGTGTACTCACATTCTAAAAACATTCTTTAGTATGTCAAGGGGGAATACAACTGTAGAGGAAAATAGAAAAATTGTTCATAAATATACTGCCTGCCTCAAATGTGTAATTAAAAAATATTAAGAGTGATTTTTTTGGTATGTCTTCAGGTGGTGGTACTGGGGTCCATGAGTTAAAATTGAAACTCTTCAGGGGTCACCCAGCTTCCCCATTATTTTTTGGGCCCTAGCCTGTGCTTAGGCAATTTTCCTGAAAAGCTGTGCTGTTGATTAGAGGTAAGAGGAAACAACAGTTCAGTTGCCTGATGTTGTTGATTCACCATCAGTAGCATGTTTTAATAGTAGGAGAAGTATTTACTACTCATCAATTTAATACTGAACTTTTTAGGTACACCTGTGAGAGACAGTTGTGAAACCTAACCAGAGAGTGGCAGATGTAGACGTAATAAAAAGAGTCAGCCTTAGAATAATTTTCATTGTAGCTTCCCTTTAGCAAGGTCTGCCATCATTTACCCTTGCCTTTTAGTGATGTACACTGGATCCTGACTTACTTTGCCCAGTGAAATAAAGAAGGTTAAAACCTAAATTCTTAGTTATACCCTTTGTCCAAAGAATAAATTAGTAGCTTTGCACCTTATCTTGCATTTGAATTTTACTAACTGGTAATAGTACTGAGTAGAGCTCAGAGTTAAAATACCTGGTATTCTCTTAACATTCCCAAGACTCATCTTTGCATTTTCATTATTGTCTTTTTTTAAATCTGTGGCTTTGTTAATTCTGGTGCTTAGGCATATACAGTTTTACTATAAAATGTAAAAACAATACCATCATCTCTTACTTACGAAATAGTTTCCTAAAAAGTCTCACGATGACCTTTGCTTAGTATATAGTCTTTAACACTCAGCTGCCAGTGTGATCTTGATGAAGTTTGTCAAACCATATCACTTGTCTTCTCAAATGGCTTCCCTTCTCAGCCATAGTAAAAATCCAAGTCTGTGGTTTACCAGGCTCTGTGTGTTTTGAGTCTCTTCTTCCTCTCTGACTTGATTACCTCACTCTGTTCCACCAACTTCTACTCTGCTACTAAAGTTTTCTCTGACTACTCTGTATAAAATAGCAGACCTTGCTCCCACATTTCCTATCACTTTGTAAGCCAGATTTTCTCCATAGTGTTAATCACTTTCTAACATACTGTATAAATTCCTATCTTAAGTTTATTGTATTTCTCTTTCACTTTCATGAATTTCTGTGAGAACAGGGTTTGTCAGTTTGGGTCATTGTTTTGTCCCCAAATACCTGAACAGTACCTGATATGTAGTAGATGTTTATATTTAATATTTAATAGGTCAACCTGCTTTCAGCTGGAAAGCTGAAATAGTAAAATAGTAAAATAGTAAAAGAAAAACAGTAAAAAATTACTATTAAAAATAGTAATTGTGGTTCAAAACTTTAAACTATGCAAGTTTGTCTTTTGCATGAACTCTAAATTACTTGTATCCATGGTTTATATTCAGTTCAGGGGAAATTTTCAGAGGAGAGTATGATCGAATGTGATCTTAAAACTGATCTGTCAGGATATAAATGGAACTAAAGATACTTAGCTAAGGGTAAAGTGGTATAACTGTCTTACTGTCTAAAATATTGTTTAGAAGCCAAATTGGACTTATTTTGGGTAGTTCCAGGAAGTAGAATTATGATTGTGGTAGTGGGTATCAAATGGGAGGAGAAGCAGCAAGAGTGGGTATAGGGAGATTAGCACTCTTGCAGTAGTAGTACAGAAGAGATGGAGGATAGCTTGAATTAGGATGAGAATTGTGGAGGTGGGCAAAAGTGAATTTAAGTGGATTTAAGATCACCAGGCCTCTGTTGATGGGCGGAAAGTGCGGGACATAGAAATTTCAACCATCAACTCAGGGAAACAGCTGGGTTGATGGTGATACCACATAAGGTCCAAGGTGCTTTTGATTCTGGCATATTGCATTTAAGGTATCTCTGGAACTTTCAGATGGAAATTACATAATATGGTTCTAAATTTCAGGGAAGAGGTGTGAGCTGAAAATACAATACTGGAGTCACTGATATAGATAGTCGAAACTACAGATGGAATTGCCTAAGGGAGGGAATATAACTTGAATGGAATCACAGTGGCCTCTAACATTTAAAAAAAAAAAAAAAGTATGCTGGAGGAATGTAAGCTCCCAAAGAATACTGTGAAGGTCAGAGAAGTATGAGTTGAGTGTGGTATTAACAGAAACCAAAGGAATAGAGTATTTTAAGGGAAGAGTAATCAGTAGGGTCAGGTGTTGATGAGAGTTGAGTAATGTAAAAGTTTAAGATTTTTTTCTTAAGTTTTATTTATTTATTTGAGGGAGAGAGAGAGAGAGAGAGAGAGAGCGAGCGTGGCAGCACAAGGGGGGAGGAGAGGGAGAAGCAGGTTCCCCGCTGAGTTGGGAGCCCAGATCAAGCAGCTCAAGCACCGTGGTACCACCATGGCCAGCAGATCCACGATGTAGTGGCGGCTCCAGTAGCTCTTGGGTTCCTTCTCAGCGGCCGCCTCCTCCTCCTCTTCCATGGGGCATGCCACACTCACTGATGGGCCTGGGCTGGGGTTGGCACCTGGCCGGTGTGGGCTCGGGCCCCGGGTGATGGGCTCCAGGGCCTCTAGCTCGTCCCCCACCGTCACCACCACGGCGGAGCTGCAGTCTTTGGGCCCTGGGGGGTGGGGCTCCGGCTCTGGGCCCCTGTCCCCTGATTCAGGGACTGCTCCGCAGACCTGGGCCTGGGTCACTTTCTCCAGGATGGCGTCCAGGTCCGGCTGGTACTGCACGAAGTCCGTCTGGACGGCGCGCTCCTGCATGCAGCTGGCCTGCACGCCGGCCTCCAGGCCACACAGAAGCTTCTCGTAGGTGTTGCTGGCGGGGAAGCGGGGGCCTAGGCCGAAGCTGCTGTGCAACGAGCCCTCCTCAGGGCCGCAGTCCACCCCCGATGACAGCAGGCTGCTGGCCTCCAGCGCGTCTGTCCGGCTCAGCGTGTCCTCGGTCCCCGCGAAACCGCTGTCAGCCCCGTCCTCTGCAGAGGCCCCGGGGTGGTCGCCAGGGGGTCGGTCACTGCAGACAGCAGGGTCACTCAGCTTGGTGTAGGTGGAGCTGCGGGTGAGGGAGCGGGCGGGGGACCCGCTGGCCGACTCCCCAGCGCCGTCTTCCTTGGCTGTGCCGTTCTGGGCCACTTCCATGCTGTGCAGCAGTGTCTCCAGCTTCTTGTTCTGAATGTTGATGTCCACGAAGTACTTCTGCAGCCCCTTGTCCTTGTCGATCAGGTTGTTCTTCTTGACGGTGTCGATGACCTGCTTGAGCTGCTTGATCTGGGCTCCATCCTAAGACCCTAGGATCATGACCTGAGCCAAAGGCAGATGCTTGACCGACTGAGCCACCCAGGCCTCCCAAGATTTTTCTTTTTCTTTTTTTTTTTTTTTTTTAAAGATTTTATTTATTTTTTTGGCAGACAGAGATCACAAGTAGACAGAGAGGCAGGCAGAGAGAGAGAGAGGAGGAAGCAGGCTCCCTGGTAAGCAGAGAGCCCGATGCGGGGCTCGATCCCAGGACCCTGGGATCATGACCTGAGCCGAAGGCAGAGGCTTTAACCCACTGAGCCACCCAGGCGCCCCAAGATTTTTCTTTTTTAGAGACACAGATAAGGGGGAGAGGGAGAGAGAGTCTTAAGCAGGCTCCATGCCCAGCACAGAGCCCAACAAGGGCCTCGATCTCCGCCCTGAGATCACCACCTGAGCCAAAATCAAGAGTCAGGATGCTTAACTGACTGAGCGACCTAGATGCCCCAAGAGCAAAAAGACTTTTTAGTTGAATTTAACAAGGAGCTTATTGGCATTGTGAATAAACAAGATAGTAAGCTGCTTATTTTCAAATTGATGTTCCTGTAATTACTTAACTAGTAAAAAAAAACTGAGATCAAAGATTAAGAAATTATCTGTCCACATTATAGAAGAGACCTAATGTTTGTCAGACATTTGTTATTTGCCAACCGCTCTGTTTTATACATTTTACATAAATTTTCATTTGACCTTTTCAGCAGCCTTGCAGTATTGGGTGTATTAATCCATTTTACAGAAAGGAGTCTGAGGCTCTAGAGAAGTTAAATGACTTGCTAAGTGTCAGGGAACTTGTTAAGAAATAGATACTCAAGTCCATCTGACTCTTGGGCCTTTAGTTATTTGTTGTATCAGTTGGTCTCTCAAACTCTGCGTCAGTCCTATATCTAGTAGTAGACTTTACTGTGATGATTGAAATGTGTATCTTGGCTACAGCTAATGTGGCTGTTGAGCTTTTGAAATATGGCCAGTGCAGCCGAGGGAAGGAATAGCCGTTACAGTGCAGATATAGATAAAAAATCATTAAGAATCCCATAAATAATAAAGTAGAGTCTTTTCTTATAAGAAGAGGTGGAAACACATATTCTTCATTTGGAAGGAGTAATATTCTGCTTATATGTTCATTTTAGGTGCTATAAATGAATATTGTAGACAGTCTTTTTTTTTTTTTTAAACAATTTTAAACTTTCAGAAAATTCTAAGTACAATACAAAGGACTTTTTCCCCTGAACCACTTGAGAGTAAGTTGCAGACACAATCCTGCTTAAGTCCCAAATACAAGTACAGAGAAGTTTTTTCAAACCCTGAGCCATTTGGGAGTAAGTTGCAGATGCCTTCTCATCACCCCAAACAAGGATAAGGACTTGGTTTTATATAAATATATAAAAATCAGGAAATTAACATTGGTGTATTACTACACTTTAACTCTCAGACCTCATACAGGTTTTTCAGTTTCCACAGTAATTTCATTTGTTAACAAGAGGATCCAGTTTGGATTTGTGTTGCATTTAACTGTAATGTCTTTTTACACTTCTACCTAGAACAATCCCTCAGTCTTTTCTTGATTTGTATAACCTTGGCACTTTAAAAGATTGCAGGTTAGTTTTGTTAAATGTCTCTCAATTTAGATTTGCCTGGTATTTCCTCATGGTTGGGTTCAAATTGTGCATTTTTTTCCCTTAGGAGTGTCTCAGTAATGATGCTGTGTTCTCATTTCATCCTATTGGGTGGCATACCATTTCTGTCTGTGCTGTTATTGATGATGTACGCTTTGATCACTTGATTAAGGTCAAGTCTCTCAATCTTCTTCACTAAAGTTTATTTTTCTTTTTAGTAACTAACAAGCATTTTGTGGGGAAGTATTTTGATACTTTATAAATAGCCCATTCTTTATCAGATTTGCTATTTATTCTCAAATTGTCCCAGCTTTGACCAATGAAGGCCCCTTCAAGCTGGTTTCTGTGTCTTTTGACTTGCTTTGAGTGCTTCCTTAATGTTTGACACAAGAAACTGTTCTAGGGTCACCTTGCACATACTTTCCCTGCTGTGACCCTGGAATCAGCCATTTCTCAAGGAGGGATTTCTTTTAGTGGAGAAGGGTATTTAGAGAACCAAGATTTGGGTGCTATTTTTATTTCTGTATATATAAAAAACCATGAGCTGGTACTAATTTTTCCAGTTTCAGTGTTTGTTTTCCAATGTTTGTTTTCATTTTCTCCCTTCTCAAATTTATAACTCCCTTCTCTCAGAAGGAGAAACCTGACCCAGTATCCTTAGTGTGTTCACTTATGACCAATCACCAGGATGTAGCCAAATTCATCCCCCATGTTGCATAACATTTTCACTCTTCTTAAGGCTCTGATGATTTGTGCCAGGAGGCATTCCTCATCCTAGGTCCCTTGGATACCTCATATTGAGGATCTCAATGTTCTGCTTGAGTTCCAGTACCTCACTCTGGGATACCTCATATCCCTCATATGGACACCTGGTGTTAACTTGGGTTCCAACACCTCCAGGCCAAATACCAACATACAGACATGTTTTCTTAAAGATTATATTCATTTGTTTTTATAAAAGATTATCACACCAAAACTTGTGAAAATTATGATCAAATAGGTTCTCAACTTTTAAAATTTAAATCCTCTTGAGACTCTGACATCTCTGTTAGTGATAATAACTAATCTTCCTCCTTATTTCCCCATTTACCCAAGAGTTCTCAGATGTACTTTCAGTAGAGTCTTTTTAATAAAATTTTGACAGTAAAGTAAAAATTGGTTCTTTGGAGTCAGTCAGACCTAGCTTTGCATTCTAGTTGTCCCAGATAGTGATTGTCACCTTTCATTGGTGACTTAATCAGTGTCCTCACCTATTTTAATTTTTAAGGAACACTTACCTGAGTCCAGTAGTAATAGCAGCTAACTCCAATCCCTTTTGTTTCATACCTTTAAGTTAACTGTGTTTAGCAATTTTCAAACCTTTTTAATGCAGTATTACTAGTGTACAATATTAGTGGTGTTTTAATTTTTAAAATGTTCTGTAGTATGAGATCTTGAGGATTAAATGTGCAAAGGCATGTCAGTTTATGGCCTGATATAAAGTAGGCATTTCCCTTACATAATCTTCTGCTATAAGTTTGTTAATATCTGTGTCTAGTAGATCTGGGATGAAACATGGCCTTTGCCCTTAAGGGGCTTAGTCCTAATCAGGCCTTCTTAATTTGCTCCCCAGTGTTCCTCCATTTTTTTCCTAATTAGTTTCCTATACTTTCCTCTCTTTCTCCACTTTCTGCTGCTACATTATTTCAAAACACCCAGTTTAAACATGTCAAATTAGTTAAATGGGATCAAGGTGTTCTTTTCCTTAGTGATTTCCTACTTTTTACAAAACACAATTTAAGGTCCTACCTTGGACTTAAACTTTAAGTCCCTTTACATTCTGGCCCATAATTATGTCTTTACCCTTATCTGCTATTGCTGTACTAAATGAATTCTTTCTGACTAAATTAGTCCTGAAAAATGCTTGTAGTTCACATTTGGCACTTAGCATATGCTATCTTGTTCATCTTTTGTATGCTACTTCTCTAGCTCTAGTTTTTGCAGCAGGGAGGGTTTTAGTATCCTAATCTGTCTTTGTATTCCAAGCCAGGCTCAATACCCTGGCCATTTTAGTAGTTTAGCTTCTTAAAGTAAACGAAAACAGAAACAAATATTCAAGAGAGCAGCCACAGCATTACTGCTTTGAAAATTCTCTGGGATCAGTGAAACAGCTTACAAATGATAAATGATCTGTTAACGTAAATATACTTGTAACACTATTTTGTATGCCTAGATGGCTTGTCAAGAAAATTGTTTCTTTAAATTATTGTTCTAATAGGGAATAAATGTTAATAACTTAAAAAATTTGTAAGCTGTCATTCACCTGAAAACCTTATCATAGAAGAGCCTTCAGATAGGACAGCTTAAATGCACTAAGGCCATATTTCTTTAGGAACTGTTGTACGTGTTCAGTTTCTTAGACATCATTATGAGTAGTATGAGGGAGATGTGTGAAATGGAAAATAGCTTTATTGTTTCAAAACTGCTACAGGAGTAGTTAAAACTAAGTGAAGGAGACACAAATCCAATCAAGCCTCTAAAAGAAGTTAAAAATATATTTTATATTACTATCGCCACTCCAGCTTCTTTGATTACTGTTTGCATGGCGTATCTTTTTCTGTACTTTCATTTTAACCTGTGTCTTTATATTTAAAGTGAATTTCTTAAAAAACAAAACCAGACCTATAAATACAGAAACAAACTGATAGTTGCCAGAGGGAAGGGGAGGGTGGGAGGCTGGGCAAAATGGATAAAGGGGAGCAGGAAATGCAGGCTTCTAGTTACGTAATGAATAAATCACAGGAAAAAAGGCACAGCATCTAGACTATAGTCTTAATATTGTAATAGCATTGTATGGGAACAGATGGTAGCTACACTTGTGGGGAGCATAGCGTAACATATAAAGAAGTTGAATCATTGTGTTGTATACCTGAAACTAATGTAACATTGTGTCAACTAGACTCAAAAGGTTTTTTTTTTAATTGAGTTTCTTGTAGACAGTATATAATTTGTGTAAAATCTAATCTGACAATCTCTCAGTTAGTATGTTTGTTATTTATATGTAATTATTGATATGATATACTAATTTATTTCCCATTTCCTGCTCTTTTTTCAATTAAGTGAATATATTGGTACTCTAAATTTATCTGTTGACTTTTCTACTATATCTCTTTGATTTATGTCTTTGTGGTTGCCTTAGGTTTACTCTTGACTAGAAATGTGTCTAGCTTGATTTGAGATATGCTATAAATGGAAAATACACACAGATCTCAAAGACTAGTTTACTACCACAAAAAGAATATAAAATGTTTCATTTAATAAGTTTTTTACTGGTTAATATTTGGACATTTTGGGTTAATAAAATATACTAGATTGATTTTATCTTAAATATGACTACTAAAAATATAAAATTATATGTGGCTCACATTATATTTTTATTGGACAGTGCTGCTCTGGGAATTATATATATACTGAAATATTAACAATCTATTTAGAGTTAATATTTACAATTGTAGAAGCCTAACAACTCCTCCAGTGACCTTTATGTTAAAGTTGTTGCATGTATTACATGTATATGGAGTGAAAACCCCACTAGACAATAATGTAACTTTTGTTTGCAGTAATCATGCTTTTTAAAGAATTTTTGGAGAAAAATAGTCTCTTATCTGTATGTGGCTATTGACTATTTTTCTTCTTTGTTAATGGAATTTCAAGTTTCTTGTTACCATTTCTCCTCAGCTTGGAGAACTTCCTTTAGCATATCTTTTAAGGTAGCCTTGCTGGTGATAAATTCTTTTAGTTTTTCTTTTTTTATTATATTAATTTTATTAACATATAATGTATTATTTTCCCCAAAGGTACGGGTCTATGAATCATCAGGCTTACACATTTCACAGCACTCACCATAGCCCATATCTCTTTTGTTTTTCTTCATTGAAAATGCCTTTTCCACTTTCATTTCTTTTTTTTTTTTTTAAGATTTTATTTATTTATTTGACAGACAGATCACAGGTAGGCAGAGAGGCAGGCAGAGAGGAGGAAGCAGGCTACCTGCCAAGCAGAGAACCCAATGCGGGGCTTGATCCCAGGACCCCGGGATCATGACCTGAGCCGAAGGCAGATGCTTCAACCCATTGAGCCACCCAGGCGCTCCATCCACTTTTATTTCTGATGGATTTCTTTACCAGATACAAAATTCTGGGTTAAGAGTTAATTTTCTTTAGCACTGAAGGTGTCCTGCCTTCGTAGATCCTATTGTTTCTGATGAGAAGTTTGCAGTAATTTGAATCATTAATTTCATCTGTATGTTGTGTTTCTCTATTTTAAAGATTTTTTTCTTTCCCCTTTGCTTTTTTGTGGTTGATTATGATTTTTTAGACATGTTTATCCTTTGAGTTAATCCTATTCGTTATCTCCCAAAATTTGTGAATTTTTAAATTTGGGAAGGTTTTGGAAATTATTTCTTGAACATTTCTTTTTGTTTGCTTTTTTCTTTTCTTTCTTTTTTTTTTTTTTAAATGTACTAATCTCTTTCTCTTATTTTTCTGAAACTCAGATGACATAAATAGAACTTTGGATATTGTCCATAGGACCCAGAGACTCTTCATTTTCTTTCAGTCTTTCACTTCTCTGTTCTTCAAATTAGATCAGTACTTTTGATACATCCTCATATTTACTGACTCATTCCTTTGTGTTTTCAATCTGCTGAGATCTTACTTCAGATACTGTATTTTTCAGTTCTAAAATTTCCATTTGTTTCTCAATTTTTTTATAGCCATTATTTCTCTCCTGAGAATCTCTGGCTTTCCATTAATTTCCTTTAATATATAGTTACCCAGATTAATACCTGTTTTCTTTTAAGCCCTTTTAACAAAGGGCTAGTTGAGTTCCAATCCTGATATTTAGAACTGGCTTTGTGACCTTAGACGATTTACTTAATTTCATTGTATATAGGATGGAGAAGTTTTCACAAAATACTATAAAAGTTAAATGAGATCATTTAGGAAATGTCAGAAAGTAATATCTAGAAATAGTGTGGAATGCATACCTGAAAGTCCAGCTCTTGGGGCATTTGGAGCATTTATAATAAGATTACAGTTAGGAAAGAATCCCAGTTATCTGCCCATGCCTGATATTAATGTAGAAGAATGTTCTTTCTTTTTCATTTTTTAAGTGAGTTTTCATAGTAAGTGATAACGTATTTTCAGATTAGAATAGTAATGTTTTATAGAAGTAAGATGAAATGTCTCTTTTTTAAGTTATGTATGAAATATTCATTTGAGAATACATTGATTATATACTTAGGTAACATAAAACTGTACTTATCTGAGACAACTGCCTAGGTGAGTTTAAGAAATTCAGATTATAGGGGCACCTGGGTGGCTCAGTGGGTTAAAGCCTCTGCCTTCAGCTCAGGTCGTGATCCCAGGGTCCTGGGATCGAGCCCCGTATCGGGCTCTCTGCTCAGTGGGGAGCCTGCTTCCTCCTCTCTCTCTCTGCCTGCCTCTACACCTACTTGTGATCTCTCTCTCTCTGTCAAATAAATAAAAAAAAATCTTAAAAAAAAAAAAAGAAATTCAGATTATAGGCAGAACTGGAGTGGAGAGAGTGTGAATGTCCTGCTCACTACACAAAACAATTGCTTTTTTCTTTTCAGTACTAGTTTCACTAAGCAATTTGTATCAATTTACAAAGGATTAGAGAATGACATTTCTTGAGGAACCAAAGAATGA